AACTTTTACGTACTTCCTGTCATCGCTACAGATTAGAAAGAGCCGTTTGATGAAAAGCTACAAAAAACAGAACACACCACATGCATCCGTTAACACTCTTTATATAAATGGTATTGATTTCTTAAGCAAGAAATGCACCAATAAACATATTAGAGAATGTTTGTATAATGCGAAGAAAATAACTCCAAGAGGGAAGTTTTTTTGGAATGCTATTTTTGATAATATCAACTGGGATAAAGCGTGGCTTGTTCCTTTTAGATTTTGTATTACAAACAAAGTTAGAGAATTACATTTGAAAATATTACATAACATATATCCATCCAACATGTACATTTCAAGATTCTGTGACATTGATAGAAAATGTACCTTTTGTAAAACTGAACTTGAAAGTGTTACTCATTTGTTTTATGACTGTTTGTATAGTGCTACATTTTGGAGAGAGCTTGAAAATTATATACTGTGCAAGACAACATACGAAATCAAAATTGAAGGGAAGAACATTATCACTTATTTTGAAACTAAAGAGAGAAAAAAATGTGCCATTGTCAATCTTTATATCTTATTAGGGAAATTCCATATACATAAATGTAAATTTCAAAACTCAACCCCATCGTTTAATTTGTTTTTGATTGAAATTGAATATTATTTAAACTCTCTTAAATTAACTTCTAACAAGAAAGGTTTATCACTGATTGAAATTCATTCAGAAATGTTTAACAAATGAGCTGTCACAAGTACTAAATTATGAAGTCTGTCACATCCCCCCCCTTTTTTTTTTTTTTTTTTAAATTTATTTATTTGTCCTTCTTGTTTCATTGTACTATATATTGTTGCTTTTGTTTGCCTTGTATGTCTACTATTTAGGCTGAACTGGAATGACTGGCTGTTCATTTTGCAATTTCAATAAAGTTTGGAAAAAAAAAAAAAAGACGTTTCCTGGCTGGTGTCGCTTTTAACTTTATCTAATTCTTCTTTAAAATACTTTCCTGCAAAACAAATTGGAAAAGTACACAGTACAACTGCATTAATGAGAAAAAAATATATAAAAGAAAATGAATATGAATTCCACAAGAAGTCTTTGTTTTTCTTTTGGCGACTTTGTTTTAAAATATAAACCACTATCTTTTTTCTTCTTTTCTTTTTTTAAAAGCAGAATAAAAGGGTGAGAATAACTTTTATGTTTGATAAATGATCAAAAAATGAATGCTGTACATTACTGGAGAAACTGGGACAGGTAAAAAAAAATATCAATAACTCATGGTCTTTAGTTTTTTTTATGTTGTTAGGTCCAACTGGAGATTATTCTAAAACAAATCCTTACATGATTCTGTTTCAAACATGTAAGAATTTGTCTTTGATGTTTGTGGCATAATTACTAATAACAGAGTAGGTAATATTTATTCATTGTTTACTAACTAATAATCAAATGCAGAGAGGTGTATGAACACCTAGTGATTGAGAAATGTGAGAAACACTCAATGCATCATAGGAATCCCCTAGAAGCCAACACCTATGGCAGTGTAATTATGGGGGGATTCAGCGTCACCTCATCCAGCCCTAACCATACACTTTATCAAAGTTTAAGTGTAATCTTAACAGCAGAGACGGCGTCTGTGTCCTGAATCCAAACTGAGAGCTGGTTCTACAGAAGAGGGGCCTGAAAGCTGAAGAAGGCTGTGCCTCCCATTCTACTTTTAAATGCTCTATGAACCACAAGTAAAGAAGCAGTCTGAGAATGAAGAGCTTGTCTGGGGTGATACGGTACAATAGGGTCATTAAGATGGGGAATGATTATTCAACACCTTGTATGTGAGGAACAGGATTTTAAATTTGATTACAGATTAAACAGAGAAAGGAGAGGGCAATAAATATAGAAATATGCTCTCTTTCTAGTTCCTGTCAGTACTCTTGCTGCAGCATTTTGGATCAACTGAAGGCTCTTCAGAGAGTTTAGTCATCCAGGTCTTTATGTCTTTAAGACATTCCTGCAGTTTTAAAATTAAAGTGACTGAAAGATTGCAAAAGATTGCATAAAAATGTGAGGAGCTAAAGCGTTTTTAACACAATCCCTTAATTTCAGGGGATTCAAAGTAATTGACAAATTAAATAACAGAAAAATAAATGTCCATTTCTAATACTTGGTTAAAAAAAAAAACTTTACTTACAATGACAGCCTAGTTCTTGAACTCATGGACATCACCAGATGCTGGGCTTCCTCCTTTTTAATGCCCTGTCAGGCCTTTATTGCAGCGGCTTTCAGTTGCTGTTTGTTTGTGGGCCTTTCTGTTCAAAGTTTGTCTTCAACAAGTGAAATGTATGCTCAACTGGGATAAGATCAGGTGACTGACTTAGGCATTTAAGAATATTCCAATTCTGACAAATTGCAAACTCCCCTAACAGAGGCAAAGTAAAGGAAGGATCTGTGCAATGAAAGCTGGAAAGTCACCAGGAATAGATGGCCTCCCAGCAGAGTTTTATCACAAATTTAAAGATTTGCTACGTCCATTTTTAACTGAGTATTACATGAAGCCTTTGAATATGGACGGCCCCCTGCAAATTTTAATCTGGCCATAATATCAGTAATTCCAAAGGCGACAAAGATTTAACGGATCCAGGCAATTACAGACTGATAAATGTAATCAGTGGATTACAAAATTCTATCCAAAGTATTAACAATGAGGCTGGAGGTTGTACTACCACAATTATTCATAAAGATCAAGTAGGGTTTATCAAGAATAGACACAAATCCTGCACTGGCTCCATATTTAAATGCACAGAAGGACTTGATACGGTGGAGTGGAAATATCTGTTTAGGACCCTGGAAAAATTTGAATTAGGCGACAACTTTTGCAGATGGATTAGAACCATATATTTGAGGCCAGAAGAAGCTGTATTTACAAATGGGGTACTTTCTCCTTTTTTTAGTATTTCCAGATCAACACGTCAAGGATGCAATTTAAGCCCATTGCTATTTATAATATTTTTAGAGCCATTAGCTATTCAAATCAGAGAAAATGCAGAGATTAAAGGTGTATTTGGGGGAGGCAGAGAACACAAATTATTCCTGTATGCAGATGATGTGCTGATATTAAACCAAGACCCAACTAATTCTATCACAAAACTATTAGAGGTGATTAATACATCAATGTTTTCGGGTTGCAGGGGGCCGTCCATATTCAAAGGCTTCATGTAATACTCAGTTAAAAATGGACGTAGCAAATCTTTAAATTTGTGATAAAACTCTGCTGGGAGGCCATCTATTCCTGGTGACTTTCCAGCTTTCATTGCACAGATCCTTCCTTTACTTTGCCTCTGTTAGGGGAGTTTGCAATTTGTCAGAATTGGAATATTCTTAAATGCCTAAGTCACCTGATCTTATCCCACTTGAGCATACATTTCACTTGTTGAAGACAAACTTTGAACAGAAAGGCCCACAAACAAACAGCAACTGAAAGCCGCTGCAATAAAGGCCTGACAGGGCATCAAAAAGGAGGAAGCCCAGCATCTGGTGATGTCCATGAGTTCAAGAACTAGGCTGTCATTGTAAGTAAAGTTTTTTTTTTTAACCAAGTATTAGAAATGGACATTTATTTTTCTGTTATTTAATTTGTCAATTACTTTGAATCCCCTGAAATTAAGGGATTGTGTTAAAAACGCTTTAGCTCCTCACATTTTTATGCAATCTTTTCATTCAACACACCAACTAGTTAAAACTGCAGGAATGTCTTAAAGACATAAAGACCTGGATGACTAAACTCTCTGAAGAGCCTTCAGTTGATCCAAAATGCTGCAGCAAGAGTGCTGACAGGAACTAGAAAGAGAGAGCATATTTCTATGTTGCCCTCTCCTTTCTCTGTGTTTAATCTCTAATCAAATTTATAATCCTGTTCCTCACATACAAGGTGTTGAATAATCATTCCCCATCTTAATGACCCTATTGTACCGCATCACCGCTGACAAGCTCTTCATTCTCAGACTGCTGTTTTACTTGTGGTTCATAGAGCATTTAAAAGTAGAATGGGAGGCACAGCCTTCTTCAGCTTTCAGACCCCTCTTCTGTAGAACCAGCTCTCAGTTTGGATTCAGGACACAGACGCCGTCTCTGCTGTTAAGATTAGATTTAAAACTTTAATAAAGTGTATACTTAGGACTGGATCCGGTGACTCTGAATCCTCCCTTAGTTACACTGCAATAGGTGTTGGCTTCTAGGGGATGCATTGAGTGTTTCCTCTTCAGTCACCTTTCTCACTCACTATGTGTTTATACATCTCTCTGCATTTGATTATTAGCTACCGGTATTAAACAATGAATACATATTACCAACTCTGTTATTAGTAATTATGCCACAAACATCAAAGACAAATCCTTATATGGTTGGAACAGAACCATGTAAGGATTTGTCTTATAATAATTTAAAGTTAGACCTAACAACATAAAAAAACAAAAACTAAAGACCATGAGTTATTGATTTTTTTTTTTACCTGTCCCAGTTTCTCCAGTAATGTACAGCATTCATTTGTTGATTATTTATCAAACATAAAATTCTCACCCTTTTATTCTGCTTTTAAAAAAAGAAAAGAAGAAAAAAGATAGTGGTTTATATTTTAAAACAAAGTCGCCAAAAGAAAAACAAAGACTTCTTGTGGAATTCATATTCATTTTCTTTTATATATTTTTTTCTCATTAATGCAGTTGTACTGTGTACTTTTCCAATTTGTTTTGCAGGAAAGTATTTTAAAGAAGAATTAGATAAAGTTAAAAGCGACACCAGCCAGGAAACGGCTCTTTCTTTTTTTTTTTTTTTTTCTGACTCAGGGCTCTGTGGGTTGTCTACTTCGGCTTTCACTGGCTCAGGACTCTGAAATGTGCCGTCCTCGGCTAACAGTGATTCGGGACTCTGAGGGGTGCTGTCATGGGTTCACTGGCTCGGGACTCTGAGGGATGCTTTCCTGGATTTCGGCTGGTTCGGGACTCTGAGGGCTATCGTCCTTAACTTTGTTTCACTGGCTCGGACTCTGAGGGGTTGTGTCTTGGGGTTTCACTGGCTCGGGACTCTGAGGGGTGCTGTCATGGATTTTCACTGGCTCGGGACTCTGAGGGGTGCTTTCCTGGATTTCGGCTGGTTCGGGACTCTGAGGGCTATCGTCCTTAACTTTGACTGGTCCCGGGCTTAATGACAAACCCTCTTGAACTTCCGGTTGATTTTCTTTGCTTAGGGAAGGTTCTTCAGGTTTTATTGAGTCCATTCCTTCATCCGTGTCTTCAGTTTCTGTGTCCGCGTGTGCAGATGTGGATACACTTGGTGAACTTGGTACAGGAGTTTGTGCGGCAGGTGTCTCACAGTCACTGTTAGAGGCCATGTCAGCATTTTCTAGAGCTGCCCAGATCAGTCTCTGCTGCTCCTCCAGTTCCTCCAGTGTCAGGTCATCCTCTGTTCCCTCCCCAGTCTCATCAACCACCACCCAGTCACGCCCTCGCACAGCTGGAGAGCCGTTGGTGGGAGTAAGTGGAGGTGTACCTTTAGGGAGAGGTGGGGGGGTGGGTGTAGCAGGAGGAGTGCCCTGTGGTAAAGGCGGAGGAGAACTAAAGCAAGGAGAGCCAGGAGGCAGTGGTGGCTGGAACTGGAAATCATCAGAGCTGTGAATTTGATGAGGTGTTCCTGGATCTATGAGAAGAAATAAAATAAAATCATCCACAGAGTGCTGACTGTGTATTTTTGTGCAACTGAGCTACAAATACCAAACCAAAACATTGTTTCTGTGAACTCAGCGTGATCTACTCTTGTTAAAAAAGTTATTAATTAGCAATAATCCTGGTAACAATTTACATAGAGCATTGATATACTGGCAGCAGCCAGGTCAACATGTTGGTTCAACAACAGTAAAATGAGAACTACTCATCTTTAGAAGATCCATAGTTTTTACATTCCAACTTAAAAACACAAAGTGAAGTTGGATGGATGGGATCCCAACTCTGGAAATCTAACCATTCAAGGAGAACATGAATGTAGGCTGTGACACCCAGATGTACGGTTACCTGATTCAATATCCATGTCCGAGCTCCTGTCTGGGGTCCGGTCCGGGCTAAACTTACTCCTCTTCCTCAGCTGTGGAGATGAGTCAAATTCATGTCTTCTCTTGCTGGAGGCGGCACCGGGCTGTTGGCAAGAGCAACATGCAATAAGACCAAAAAGCACGACTTTTGTTTTTCCTTTCTTAGCAACATATTTAAGTAGAAATATTGAAATCCTGTGGATTAAATGGAGGTCTGTGCAGTTGGATCAGTGTTGATTCATGCTGTAAAATGCGTAAAGGAGATTTTAAAGGATGGGTCATGTGAACACCATAAACTGTTGCACAGAGCAAAGTAACCTCAAGACAGTAGATTTTGTCCTCGATGAGAACAGTAATGGCTTAAATATCTAATCTATATCTTATTTCTAAGAATGAGCACTAATCTGCTAAATTTTGCTCAAGGTGGTGGCCGATAAAAATTTGGTTGAAGTTGAGAAGCTGCCGTTGCAAGAAGTCAGTAGGGAGCTGGGATACAGACCGTGGGAAAGAAGCTGGACAGGTAGGCTGCATAGTTTTGCTTCATGTGGCTGCTCTGCATTGGAATTGAACCATAATGCAGGAACTCCTGAAGATACAACAGAAATAAAGAAAAAGTGTTATTTAACTTAATAAAAAAGACAGCAAAAAAAAGGTCCCAGCATACTTTAATGGGTTGTCAACCATTTAAACTCCACATTTAATTGAAAATAACACAAAGACAACATTGCAAATTTGGAAACTAAAAATAGTTAATCATTGTTGATGCCAGCAACATTTGTCAAAAAGTCATAAGAAGCTCATATACACCACAGTATAAATTAGCTCTTTTTAAAAATTTAAAAACAAACAAACAAACAAAAAAACAAAAACATTGTACAAATTCATGAGGAAATAAAATATTTTCCCCATTCTTTCCCATTCTGACACCCATACAAACATGGACGCTGTTTTTTTTCTGATAACTACTCAGATGGTCCCTCTCCTCATCAGAATTTAATATTTTTAGTTGTCAGATGACATGACAGGTAGCAGTCGTGTCATTTCTGTGTCCTGTTTACATTTTCAGTCAGTCAGTGATCTCCACTATAAAGCTGTGGATATTGCAGAACCGTCTGTTGGCCTGAGGATCTCAGTCATATATCTATGTGCAGCGATTTTTTTTCTAGATTCACCAAATTATTTTTTGAAATCATCTTTTTTAGATGACAAACACCTCAAATTCCTTCCAATTTCACACTGAGAAAGAACCTTACATTTATTATTATTTTTCCCATGTTTTGGTTTATATTCACACAGTGAAAACCCCAATCAAATCAAAAATGTTTGTGTACTCTGCTGTGTGCCAGAATGCAAAGCATGTCTGGCTACACAAACAAATCGCAACAAAGGGGGAAACAAAGCAGAGTTTGATTTAACCAGACTAGAGAATGTAAATTTAGCTTCACAAGTACTGATCTGTTGCAATTTACCTAAAAATGTGTTGTGTTGAAATTATTCAACAAGATATTTCTAGTCTTTCATTGCCCCTTTCTTATTTTTATGACATCAAATCAACATTTAATGTTGATGGTTTTGAAACAGTACATCACATATTTACTTTTTACTGGATACCAGGCGGTACTGGAGGTCAAACATTTGAAAAGGCAGACTGCAAGACTTACATCTTTCATTTTGTGTGGTGCGGCTACATTGAAACCTGGGAAATCCACCAGTTTGGAAACATCATAAGAGAGGTTTTGTGAATTAGTGTTGTCAGTTACAGTGCCATCACTTGATGCTGTAAGAGAGAAAAAAACAACATCCTCTATAATCTGTGCAGACTGCAGAAGCTTTTATTTTTCTACTTACTCTGTTCAACAAAGAAAACAAATTGTGAAGCTGTTTAGTTCTTTTTCAAACTTACCATTTCCGTCATACAGTGATAAGCCAGAGTTTTCCATCTCTGCCTCTTTGAGCCAACCTGGTGGGTAACCTAGCTGCCTCATGCGATAGATCAGAGGAGGTAGGGTGTTCTCATCAATGCCCAGAGCTGTCAGCAGCTCCTCACTGTTTAACAGCACAACACAGTAAATAAATCAAATGAAAAATTAAAAGACTAAAAATTACACTTGTCTAAGTTGGCATAGAGACCAAAACCATGTGATCTACATGCCAAATATCTTTGGTATAAACTAACTAACGGATGAAGCCTTTGGAGTACGAATGTGAGAGCAAGTCTACCACCAGCATGCAAGAAGCTGAAGCCAAGGATTATGATTCAGAAACTCTGAGTGAGACACTGACAGCTTCTTCTTCATGTAATTAATTTGGTAGAAAAACAGATGTAAACAGAACAAATATTACACTGTCAGACAAAGAACCTGGAAGCTGCTGTGGTTGTAAAATGTTGTAAATACATTACATTTTTAAAATTCAATTGAGAAGTACAGACTTATTTCAACATGAGTACTGAAAAAGGTACTGTTGCAAACATAAACCTTAGGACAATAACGTTGGGCAATTTTCACCCATATGATGAAAAAAGATCACTTAGTGGTCATTTCCAAGGGAATTCATAATCATAATAAAATGTAACGGGTCATTCTTTCCCCTCTTATATCTTATTTTGTTTCTCTCTCCCACGGTTGTCAGTTTGCAGGGAGACTGTGCCTTCACCATTTTTCATTTTTATGATTTTTTTTCCCCCATTAATGATTCCCAAATTTTGAGCCTTTATTTATTTTAAATTGAGTCCCCAGATAACACTTTTTTTTATTTTATGAAATGAGGTACGTTATATATAACCCTGTAAAATATGCACTTTTGCAACATTATGTAATTAAATTAAAATTGTGAGTAAATAAAGATGTGTGGAGAGTAAAAAAAAGTCCTGCCTCATGACTCCAGGCTTGTATTTGGCAAACCGCTCCTCCACTTCATCAGCATGGTATCTCTGGTTACTCTGCATGGCTTGGTTGTTGCTCTGATTGAACTCCTTTCTTCTCTCATTAATTGCAGCCATGTCTTTAGGCTAGGAGAGAAAAAATACATTCTTATATTAAATTATGTTCTGTCCTTGTGTTCATCCTGGATTAACAGATCATTAATGGTACCTTGGGACATTCTCTCAGCTGGTGACTGCTTGAACCACAGTTGAAACACATAGACTTGGGTCTACAGTGAACAGAGCAGAGACAGAATCATTATACATTATAAATTCCACCCAGCACACAAACAAAGAAGAGTTGTAAACAGGAAAAGCTATGGAATTTTTGTAGTCTTACCTTTTGTCTTTCATTTCTATTTCCTGGCCATCAGTTCCAATGACTTGGTTGAAGACTTGCTGATAACTTTGCAGCAATTCAGGAAGCTATAATGCATTTGTCTACACAGCTGTGAATTTTTAAAATTTAATAAATCTGACTACAGCACTTCATAGGCAATAAATGTTTAATTTATTCATGTTAAAGATACGTTGGGACATCCCATCCATCGGTCAGCTGGGGGTTTTCATTTACCAGAGGCTGTCCAAGTTTATCAACACTGAAAGTAGTGAAATATAAGACACTCCCAACAACCTAAAACAAAAACATAACACAATAAGTTACTACTTGTGAGCCTACACATCTCGTTTTCAGTGTGTTTGAATGAGAAATAACAGCATGTGCTCACTTTAAAGGCTTCTGTTGTTGTTCTCACACTACTGGAAGACATCATCTGTGGATCTTCGTCCAAAGCAAAAGCGGAATTCTTTATAGAGGGAGAAATATGTATTTTTAAACAGAAACTTCATTGTGATATTGAAAATATTTACAATAGTAATATACAGTGCTGTGAAAAAGAATTTTCTCCCTTCGTGACTTGTTTTTTTTTTTTGCAGATTTGTCTGTCACATTTACATGTTTCAGATCATGAACGACTTTATAAGACAATGAAAACCTGAGTAAATGCAAAATGCTATTTTTAAAGTTATGTTTCTGATAATGAAGTCAAAAAGAATTTCTAAACTTACCTGTGTAGAAAACTAAAACGCCCTCACCCCTTGCAAATGTAAAATTAATCGTGCCTTTCTGTCTTTGTAGACAGACACATGTATTTAATTTTCAATGATTTATTACAGGTATTTGCCGTATTGTCAGTAACAGACTGGATGTTATTGCCAGCTTGACCCCATTTAATGACAGACTGACAGCATACCAACTTAGTCTTATGGCAACATTAATGGTAGGTTGTAATGACAGGGTTAGCATACCAGCAAAAAAATGTTTTTTGTTGTTTTTTTTGTTTTTTTTACAATATTATCCCATCAGCCTTTTACAGCTTTTATGTCAAAAAGTGATAAATTACAATATGTGCTATTGTAATGTTAAAAAATCTGAACAATGTCATATTTTGAGTGACGTATTGTGGTAATATTCTATCATGTTGAGTCTGGTGATTTTCACCTCTAATAGACACAAAAAACTTCTTCACGGCTCTGTATATTCTAGGTACACACCTGAGGTTTGATGTTAAAGGAGGACCTCTTTTCAACGTCTGGTTTATGGTGCCTCAAAATCACACTGCAGATGCAGTCTTCAATTTCCTGGCGACACGTCCTAGCAGGGTGATTAAAAATTGTCATTCATATGTTGTGAATGGATCTAAACTGAACATGTTGTTAATAAATTACCGTAGATGTAATAATTTCACCAACAAATACGTTCATACATTAAAAACTTACTTAAAATATAAAGAATTCTGACTTACTTTGATATGATGTTGTTTGTATAAAGGACCTGAAGAAGAGGCCCGTCGGTGTTAACATCTTCAACAGTGACGCCGCTGTAGTGTTGGAGGAGGGAAAACATCGCAGGATCACGGTTGGCGAACAGTTTCGTTTCATTTGAAATGATCATTATTGGGTGTCTACTAGTTACCTTGGTCGCGTCAGGAGGCTCATTTTCCTTCGTAATATTTTATGTGGTCTGGGAATTAAAGAAAAATGACAAATTCTGCAGAAAAAGGACTGTTAGAAGTCATTTCTTGGTTGTGTTTTGGTTGCATCCTATGCTAGCAAATTTAAGCTAGTGCTAACAAACTGCCACAAGGATATTCTCCTCAGTGAGTCTCTGGATGTAATCGTCGCACTCCTCCAGCCTGCTCCGGAGCTCGCTCTTCTCGTCCTGCTCTTCATCATCATCTGTGAACCGAATGTGCGTCGTGACCGGGGGAGCAGGCTCATCGAGCTGCTGAAAGAGCTCACTGTCCCCAAAATCAACTTCTGCCATACCTGGCGCTACCCGATCCGTATGCGGAAACACGACATATCGTGCGCATGCGCAAAATGTGATTGCTCCTGATACTTTCACAATAAAACTACTGAACCGTCACGTAACTGATGTACGTAAAACCACTAATTTTATTTGTTTTTAACTTGCATTCACAGCGTAAAGTAACCCTAAATAAAAATATAAATAAATTGGATTACTACATATCTCTGAAGATAAATACAAATAAAAAAAACTCCAGGCTAATAATATTTGAATAAAAATTTCCTCCAGATATAAGAATGAATCTTTTCTTATGGACTCAAATAAGTTTTGCTGAAAAACTGAATATGGAACAAGCAAAGCTTAATACTAAACAATATATATATTAGCTGTATAATATATATAATATAAAATATATATAACTTAATATTACACACATCCTGTACATGGATGACATCAAGCTGTATGCCAAGAGTGAACGAGACATCGATTCACTGATCCACACTACCAGGCTATACAGCAATGACATTGGAATGTCGTTCGGACTGGAGAAGTGTAGTCGGATGGTAACAAAGAGAGGGAAGGTAGTCAGAACTGAGGGGATTGAACTACCAGAAGGCAACATTGCAGACATAGAGGACAGTTACAAGTACCTGGGGATCCCGCAGGCGAATGGGAACCATGAAGAGGCCGCTAGAAAAGCTGCAACCACCAAGTACCTGCAGAGGGTCAGGCAAGTCCTGAGGAGTCAGCTGAATGGTAAGAACAAGATCCGGGCCATCAACACGTACGCCCTGCCCGTGATCAGGTACCCTGCTGGGGTAATAGGCTGGCCAAAGGAGGAGATAGAAGCCACTGACATAAAGACAAGAAAGCTCCTTACCATGCATGGAGGGTTTCACCCCAAGTCCAGCACCCTGAGGCTGTACGCTAAGCGGAAGGAAGGGGGCCGGGGACTGGTGAGTGTCAGCACCACAGTCCAGGATGAGACAACGAACATCCAAGAATACATTGGGAAGATGGCCCCAACTGACCGAGTGCTCAGTGAATACCTCAGGCAGCAGAAACCCAAGAAAGAGGAGGGAGACGAGGAACCATCATGGAAGGACAGGCCCCTGCACGGTATGTACCACCGGCAGATAGAGGAGGTGGCTGATATCCAGAAATCCTACCAGTGGCTGGACAAAGCTGGACTGAAAGACAGCACAGAGGCACTAATCATGGCAGCACAAGAACAAGCTCTGAGTACAAGATCCATAGAGGCTGGGGTCTATCACACCAGGCAAGACCCCAGGTGCAGGCTGTGTAAAGATGCCCCAGAGACAATCCAGCACATAACAGCAGGGTGCAAGATGCTAGCAGGCAAGGCATACATGGAACGCCATAACCAAGTGGCCGGCATAGTGTACAGGAACATCTGTGCCGAGTATAACCTGGAAGTCCCGAGGTCAAAATGGGAGATGCCCCCAAGGGTGGTGGAGAATGACCGAGCTAAGATCCTGTGGGACTTCCAGATACAGACGGACAAAATGGTGGTGGCTAACCAACCGGACATAGTGGTGGTAGACAAACAGAAGAAGACGGCCGTAGTGATCGATGTAGCGGTTCCCAATGACAGCAATATCAGGAAGAAGGAACACGAGAAGCTGGAGAAATACCAAGGGCTCAGAGAAGAGCTCGAGAGGATGTGGAGGGTGAAGGTAACGGTGGTCCCCGTGGTAATCGGAGCACTAGGTGCGGTGACTCCCAAGCTAGGCGAGTGGCTCCAGCAGATCCCGGGAATAACATCGGAGATCTCTGTCCAGAAGAGCGCAGTCCTGGGAACAGCTAAGATACTGCGCAGGACCCTCAAGCTCCCAGGCCTCTGGTAGAGGACCCGAGCTTGAAGGATAAACCGCCCGCAGGGGCGTGCTGGGTGTTTTTTTAGTTTTTTATAGTTATATATATGTATATATATATATATTATATATATATATATATATGTGTATATATATGTATATATATGTATATGTATATGTATGTATATATATGTATATGTATATGTATGTATATATATGTATATGTATATATATGTATATATGTATATATATGTATATATGTATATATATAGCTTCAAATTTGGCCCACGGGCCAGAGTTTGACACCTATGATTTAAATGGACAAATCATTTTTTGAACTGAGGAGTCCAGTTGCTCGACCTTTGGGAAAGGATTATCCCATTGTTATATATAAAACCTTTCTGATGTCAGTTTTGACAAGACTCCCAATAGAACTGGCTGAGATGTAGCTCCAAGCCATGACAGTGTCTCAGAATTTACACGTGTTTTACGGATGTTTGTGTTTTAGAGAGGTAGGCACATATGTACCTCTTTCCTGGTTGGACATGTTGGCACTGATTTTAGAGCAGTTCTTGTGTTGTTGTATTGTGTGCTATGGATTCAGCACTGAAGCAGATGCTGATTAGCAGACCTAGTTTGACTGAGCAAACTCACTGCAATTTTTTTTGTTTTTTGCCTAGACAACAACACTGTGATCAAGATGAAAAACAAAACAAAATAACATTTGCATCTTTTCTCAGTTTATCTATTAAATGTATTACTCTTTTACAGGTCCAGCCAAGGAGTTCCTGCTTAATCTGTGAATGAGTAATACATCTGTGAATAAGTGAGTTGAGTGACTGAACTGACTGTCTCTGTGTGGGATCAGATAGTAGAAGGAGATGTTCTCTGTCCCTCCTGATGGTGCCTGAAGGACTATCTAGGAAATATGAATGTGGGGTGAAATGAGGGAGCATCAGCTTGCCTGAAGTCTTTGTGTCTTGACGCACACTTGCTGTCATGGTGTGACTGGGCTCAAAGCTCTTACTGGGTGTATTTGGTTGAAGGATGTAGTGTCTTGTATCCTTCTCATCTGAGGGATCGTCCATTAGCCTACATCAGGAGGCTCCACAATGCTGCAGCCAAGTGGCTGCAACCCAGCCCAATGGAGGGGGAAGTTAAGCTGCTGAACATGCTGACACTGCAGCAGTTGATGGAGGGGCTCCCAACAGGAAAAGCAGAGAGGGTCTGCTGTTATCGGCCAGTGAACCTCGAGCTGGCTGTGACGCTTGCTGAGGATCACTTGGCAGCACGGCAGACCCTGGTCCAACCAAACCCTGGTTTGACCTGTGGCTTTTCTGGAGGCAGAGAGGGTGGAGGTTAGGTTTGTGAATGGCGACATCCCATAGTGCCACTGCAGGTCTTGTTTGAGTGGATTGGCATGGATCTCATTGAGCCATTTCAATGCTTTGTATTAGTGGCGGATGTGTAATCTGGTGGATTATGCAACATGATATCCCGAAGCACTGCCACTGTGCACCATTTTGGCAAAGAGTGTGGTGCAGGCCCAGTTTCAGATCATCTCATAAGTCAGCATCCCGAAAGAGACAATGACTAACCAGGGCACATTATTCATGTCTCACACATTAAAGGAACTGTACGAATTACTGGGAATTAAATCTGTTTAGACTGTTCTGTTCATGTTTGGGAGATTAACACAGGAGCAGGTATCATTTGCCCATCGTTTTCACTCTTAGCTGCTGTTTTTTTTCTTTATTGAGAAAAGAGACAAAACACTCCATCCCCGTATTGACTACTGCACCCTTAACCAGAATACAGTTAAAAACAAGTTCCACTACCTCTTCCTTTTTCCACCTTTGAACTCCTGCAGGGTACGTCCATCTTTTCCAAACTGGAAATGCTTACCATCTGGTTAGGATTCGTGAGGGCAACAAATGGAAAACAGCCTTCAACACCCACCTTGGGTATTTAAGGTGCCTGGCGATGCTGTTCGTCCTCACAAATGTCCCAGCCTTTTTCCTAGCTCTTGTTAATGATGTCCTCAGGAATTTTATTTTATTTTTCTTGTTATTGTCTGCCTTGACGACATTTTGATTTTTTTCTAGAACCCTCAATGAGCAACAGAGCCACGTCTGGCAAATTCTCCACAGACACCTGGATTATAGGCTCATTGTGTAAAAGTCAGTCTACTGAATGGATCTGATCCTGGAGGTCTGCCCAACTATCTGTATGTTCCTACTTCAGCTCAGTCTAAGGTATTGCATTGAGAACACACAGCAAAATTTAACTCAGTAGTTAAATTAACTGCTTATAAGTTCATAGCAAAGGAAATTTCGGTGATCTAATCTGAAAAAATATGTTGGGGAATATATTGGATCCTGTACCATCACTCAAAATAAGATGGTCCCCACTCCTCCTGCAGGTCTCCTCAGACCCCTGCCTGTACCTGGGCGGCTGTGAGCCCCCAGAGCCCAAGAATTGGTCACTCACTTACTACCCAGGTAACACAGTCATTCAAATCATTTATTAGGTAAAGAGTTTGCCATGGACCCTAAAATTATACAGGCAGGGGAAGTCTTGATCTCCAGAGTTCCACTCAATCCTAAGCTTCACATATCTGAAGATGCTGTTGTTTGTATACTGTTGACAAATGAGAGAGAGGTGGTAATGAAAAGAACCAACCAGGTTGAAAAGTAAATGCTATATAACATTGTGCGGTAGTAGCCCCTCCCAGACCAGCTGTCAGTGCATCCCAGTAAATTTTGTCATCAGTTTTTTCTTATTTGGTTACAAATTGAGCCCATTAAAAACAGCATGACTGAAAGAGCTCTAATATGTTTTTGTGTTGTACTCACTGGTAGGTTGAAGGTCTGAAATTCTCTTCCTTGGCTGTCATATAAGAAAGTTCCCAAAAAGGTCCCTTCTGCCCCTATGGTCAACATTCCCTTGAAGAAGAAGAGAGGTTTTGGTGAGAATTATAATACAAAAAAACGTGAAATCTTTAGACTAACAACAAAATCATGTCACTCACATGGGCAGAAAACACTCTTGGGGCGCTTTTTTTGGTTCCATCGGGCGACTGGTGTTTTCGGAGATGTCCCAGTGTCAGGGCAGTGATGGAGACTGGGTGGAACAGTGAGATGATTACAACCCCACTCTGACCTGCCAGGGGCCAGCAGTTCCCTGGAGGCACAGGCAAATATTCCTGAGGAAAGAAAATTAATTAT